CCGCTCACGCTGGCTGCTGGCCGCTCACGCTGGCTGCTGGCTACACATGGTAGCCCATGGCAACCCACTGCCACAGGGGCTGCAGCATACGCCTTCGCCGGCAACTCACAGCAGCCCAGCTCCAGGTTGAGCCGTTGTTCAGCATCTGAGCTGTGGAGGGCAGTGTCACTGGCCCTCATATGTGGGATCCGAACCCGGGCCCTCTGGCGTCCCATGCCAGTTCTTAACCATCGCGCCACTGGGCTGGCCCCCAAGCAGCATCTCTTAAGCATGGTTCTGGGCCTCAATCAATTTGTGACCTCTGACCAATCAGATAAAATCCAAACTCCTGAGCCAGGGTCATTCAAAGTCCTTCATAGTGGGTCTTTCCAGACACCTTGAGAGAGCATCAGTTCTAATAAAAACGAACTCTAAGAATTTTGATTCCTTCTATTGAGCATACATTTTCATCTGACATGGAAAGGGAACTTGGCAGGTAGGAAACAGTAGCTCATGTCTAGAGGCTGAATTGAGAGAGAGAAGAGAATATGAGCATGAGAATGAATGTGTGTTGGGGGTGGGGACCTGTTTCTTCTAGCTCTTGTTTTTTCCAGAGAATAAAATTCCTGTCTGCTGCCAGGGTGGGAGAAGGGCAGTCACTTGTCTGTATAGGGTGGGGTTAGGAGACCTGAGGGACTCATGACTCCTTACAGAGACTCAGCTGATCCTCCTGTCTTTAGCCTCACCTTGTCTTCCCAGACACCTGTGTCTCAATGGCACTCCCAGCAGTGACTTTGTTGTTAGCTTTCTGTTCTGCCAAGTCAGCTGCCAGTTACATTGTCCAAAAATGAGTTAACAGCTTCCATACGCTATGCCTCCTTTTGCATTTCCTTTGTCCTTTAGATATATTTATTCACTTACTGTCCTTTTAGTAGGGTTTTGGAGTGGAGCCAAGAAATGCATGTTTCCTGTTTATCACTGCATAACTAACCACATCCAAACCCAATGACTTAAAAACCAACAATCACTATCTTGCAGTTCTAGGGGGTTCAGATAGGAGGGTCTCTCTCTGGGCCTCTTATTGCAGTCGGATTGTGGCTGGAGCTGGAGTCATCTGAGGCTTCCTTGTATGTCTAGTGGTTGATGCTGGCTGGTAGCATGAACACACACATGGCCTCTCCATGTGGCTTGGCCTTCCTCGTAGCATGGTGGATGCATTCCAAAAGTGAGAGTCACAAGAGAACAAAGTGGCATTTTACATAGTCACCTCCTCTGTTTGCTACTTATTGAGCTGTCACAAAGGTCTGTCCAGGTTCAGGGGGAAGGAATATATACTCCACTACTCACAGGAAGAGTGTCAAAGTCATATTGTAAGAAGAACATGCAGGAGGGGATCTATTGTGAGGGCCATCTTTGACAACAGATTCTAGGTCACATGTGTTCAATGAGTCTAAAATGGAGGACCTGAGTTGTCTTTCTAAAACAAGAAAGTGGGAAAGAGGCATTCACAAAGGCTGCTGAACCACAAAGCTCAAAACTTGACTGAAGCCCTAAATTAAACACCTTAAATTATGTAGTAATTTATAATGGTTACATAATTTTATATTTATAATTATATAAACTTTAAATGTTTCATGCACAATGTTATATTTATAAATTTGAAATACGCTATTTAGCAAATGTCCTATATATTGTGATTTTTCTCCCAAAGAAAACTTGTCAAAAAACACAGTATGTTATATCCTTTATTAGAAGTTTTATCCCTATAGTTTTCCTAAGTAAACAGGAAAATGGCTTTTCTTAAAAATTTTCAGGGCCGGCCGAGTGGCGCGATGGTTAAGAACTGGCTTGGGACACCAGAGGGCCCCGGTTCGGATCCCACATATGAGGGCCAGTGACACTGCCCTCTACAGCTAAGATGCTGAACAACAGCTCAACCTGGAGTGGGCTGCCGTGGGTCACCAGCAGCCAGCGTGAGCGGCCAGCAGCCGCGGTGAGCAGCCATCCAGAAGCCGGCGACTGGTCTGCCTCGCCCGGAAAGAGCGCAATGACGGTGCTAACTTGGGCCAGTGGGGCAACGTCCTCCACAACTAGATTGAAGAACAAAATGACAGCAACTTGTCTGTTCCCCTTCCCCCAATTCCCCAGCACTGTTTCCATCCCCCCAATTCCCCAATAAAAAATCTTAAAAAAAAAAAAAACAAGATGCAGTGAAAAAAAAAATTTTTTTTTTTTCACAAATAAAGCTTAACATTGTCAAGGGACATATCTGGGGGGAAGAAAACTTTAAGAAAATGTTATTTAAAAGGCTGTTTCCCTCACTTCTTTTTGTCAAGAGGGGATATGTTTCTGATCCTGTGTAGCAAGTGATGGACCCATAAGATGAGACAGTGATATCTTGATAATTGTAAAAGTAAAAGATCTTTGTTGAGTATGGTGAAAGTTTGAGATTTAAATTAGTCAAATTGCTATAGTGAAAACTAATGGTCATTTTTCACCTTGCCCCATAAAGTAAGATTCAGGGTCACACTGACTGGTGGTGTAGCTGTATCTTTTAAAAAGCTGTCTAATCTATGCCTAAAATAACTTTCATAATTATACATTTTGGAATAATCAAGTCTCATGTTTTGGGGCATAGTCAATTACTATAGCGATCAAGAGATAATTTATTTTTTCATGTATGCTTCTCACAGCAGGGCAGCTCCATTACACATTCATGAATTTTAGCAAGGTATTGTTAGGAGTTAAGTAGAAGCCACTGGATTTGAAGGGTCACACATTTACTAGAGATGGCAGTTCTTTTAAATTCTGATCTGCTCATATCTGCTACTTAAGAATTCTAAGGAACTCATGGCTTATTGTCTACAGTTTACCAGAAGACAGATTTGGGGATACAGCTGTTGAAGGTATTAGATGCACTGCACTCCTTTGTCTACTTTTGGAGAGAATGTGAATTGCATTTTTGAAGGTGAGATCCCAATTTTGAAGAGCTGTTGAGGTCATTTAGAGCAGTTTGCACTTCAGGAATCTTTATATAAACCAGAGTAGTAATCATTGTTGAAAACATGCTATTATAAAATGTGTTATTTTTTTATTTTTTTTAAACTGAGCCATCCTGCCACCTGTTGGCAGCTCAGCGGCTGCTCAGCTCGGGCCAGGAATCGAACCACTATTGCTCAGAGCTCAAACTCTTGAGTGAGCTCTTAACCAACTGCGCCACTCAGCCGGCCCTTAAAATATGTTGTTATTTTAAAGCTCTGTAATATTTGCAATTCTCAGCCATGGGAGAATTTTATAATTTATATTGATAATAGGGTTTTCCTCTTTTTAATTGCCATAGTATCCATTTCCTGATCAAAAGAATTTGTGTAGCTTTATCTTGGATCTTATACATTTTTCCCTCTTGCAATATTTTTAACCATTCAAAAAGTAAAACTGGAAATACATCATTACATTTTAATGTGACCTTAATAAAGTCTTTTGTTTTGGCTTATTATATGTCTAACTGCAACTTTGTGATTTCTTTCTTACCTAATACTCAAGCTAGTTAAGTAAAAGTTTTTTGACCACAATCTTTAAGTACAAATACATTTTACATCAATAGTATATCATATGTATGTATACACACGATTGAAACAAAAATGTCACGAAATAGTCCTTAAGGATGATGGATATATACTCTGTTCTTTTCAGTGTGTGTGTGTGTGTGTGTGTGTGTGGTGCTGGTTGTGACCCATTTTCAGAATTTGAAAAAACAAGGCTAAAAAACTTGTCTATAGTGCTTTCTTAATACTACAGATTTTATTTTGTATTTTGTATAAGCCTCTCTCTCACTCCTGGGAGGTGCTGCCACTGCACACTAGCTGTGTTACAACAGCATCTTTGAAAGATGATTAAAGTAGAGAATGAGGCCTATTGTATTGCTTTGTCAATACAGAATGCCCTTTCCTGTAAGACATCATCAAATTATCTGTACAAGGAAGACATCAAAACTATGTAGAGAACTTGTTCTGCAAACCTCTTCCATTATCACCAGAACATTGTGACAGTGGCCAAGAGGTCATTAAGCTTCTTTAGTGAAGAGAATTCTGTGGACGGGGATGTTGGGCACCACCTTTGTAGTAGTCCTGTGTCTAACTCAGGCTGGTTTCCTCAAGTGTTCACTACTTCGGCCGTTTATTTCTCCTTACAATGCTTGGCATTGTGTCGAGTTCTAAGAAGTGTCTTGCGATCTTGTGTGATGATATCAGCACCAGCTCTCACACCTATGTCACTTCAGACATTCTTGGGTCCCACTTTTCTTGAGCCAAGATCTGAATATACACTGCAGATACACCCTGTAAATTGGCACTTCTACCAGACTCACAGTCTGGTGACAAGTTGAGATCACTGCCCATGACTGAGCTAAGTTTTTACTCTTACTCAAGGTGCAGCTGAACTACCTCCTCTTCTATGAAACAGTACAGACCCAACCCCAGCTAACCAGCCTGCCTGTGCACAGTCTCCTGAGGCACTGTAGATACCTGGGCCCTACTCCACACCTACTGAGAGGGGGATCATGGCAAGCGACCTAATGTTTCTAACCTCCGGTTTCCCCTGCAAAATGGGGATAATAATAGAACTCACCTTAGCAGGTCCTGGGGAAATTAAATGAAGTAACAGGGATAAGATGCTTAGAGCACTTCATGCAGAGATGCTTGACATTATTTCTTGCTAATAATCACACAAAAGTAGGATCCCATGAGAGGTATTGTTGGGATACAGATTCAAAAACTGGTAGATTAGGGACTTAAAAGATCAATAATATCAAACCAGCCTCCCAATACCACTTATAGTAATACTGAGCAAAAGTATATGATAGATGCCCAAATAGTTGGCCTCTAAGTTATCCTATCACAGATCATCCCTCAAATCCATGGCAAGGCACAGCCCTTTTACTATACTAATCCAAACCATACTCCTTCCAGATGTGGTCCAGAGGATGGACATTATGAGTGAATCCCCAGCAGCCAACCCATTCCCACCACCCAGGTGACTGGTCTGTGCCAGTCACAGTGGGCCCCTTTCCAGTGACCAGCTCAGGAGAGGGGAGGAATAAGTGTGGTCTTGGAGTGGTGTGGAAGACCTGCTGGGTGCTTCTAAGAAAAAGCTAGCTACAGGAAGTCAAGCTCTCCCTCCATAGTGGCAGTCACTGACCAGCCTCTTGGGAACCAGCCCTGGAATCAAGCTTAAAATGGACAGCAGGTCAGAGAAACCCAAAGAGTTTGGTTCTTCGGGATACTCTAACCCCTGAATCTGTCCTGCTTTTGCACCTCTTATTGAGCTAATTTCAGAACTGTTTAAACCAGTGTGAGCTGTTTGCTTTCATTTGCTCTTGAAAACAGACATGTTAGTGTGGGCACATCTCTTCTCAACTGACCATTAATGCATGGAAGCACAGAAGCTTACCTGATCACGGAAGTTGCAAATCACAGGCAGAATCAACTCAGAATATTCCAGCATGTTGTTACTTTGCCCTATAGCAGAAAAAACTTGGGCTCTAGCCTGGTCCCACCACTCCTAGCCCAAGTGGCCTCAGTCTCCATTTTGGGCTCCAGTGTTCAGTGATGACATTTACATTGTCAAGTTAAAAACTGGAATAGATGAAGAAAGGACTATAATCATATTACCCTTCAGTGGCTGTAGCAGGGCTATCTACTGGGGTCCTCTGCACCGGCTTGCACGGTGCATGCCTGAAGGTCAGCCTGAGTATCAGCCCCTCACTCCACACCTGCACACAGGACTAGGCTGCATCCAAGGAGAATGAGTGGTCAGTCAGCCTGACCAGAACAACTCAGAGCATATTTCTGATATGTAAAAGAATTATTAGGACCCAGGAATTCAATTTCCCTAGACACTACTGTGTTTCTAATGTGCTTTGTATTAGTAATAAAAGAATTCTTCCTACTTAATTAGACCAATTTAGGTTGTAAAAACCGTCTGCAGGGAAGGTGTGGCACCACCATAATGGAAGGTAAGTGTTGCCTGCTTTTAGTAAAACCCTGAGTTTTATAAAATTTTATTGATTCTGAGAAGCAGGCAGAGGCCAACCCTGCAGAGGTCTGTGTTTTCTTGATCCATGTATGAAGAGCTCAGGGAGAGGCCACTGAAAACAAATGGAGGGGAGAAAAGACCCAATGATGAAAGGAGTTCAGCCCACCCATGCCAGGCCCTCTTCAGGCCTGGTTTCTCCTCCTTGACATTTGCATGGATAAGGAAAGGTTTTTATGGGTTGTTTTTTTTTCTTCTTCATAATGTCTTCATTTTCTATTGCCACATAGCAGGGCACATGATTTTATTTTCCCTTTATATAACAATGCTGTGCCCTTACCCACAGTTTTATGGTCTTAGCCCACTTTCACAAATGTTTGGTTTGCACTTGATCCCCTGAACTTTGGGAAGTGGGAATGGTCTCCACATGACAGATGAAGGCACTGAGGCTCAGAGTTTCTTAAGTGAATGACTTGCCCTGGGCCCAAGTTCTAATTTCTGAGCCACAGCTTGTCAGAGTACTGCTGCCTCCTGAGAAACACAGCCTTTGCTGGAGATGCGCAGTGAAGGGGCTGCTCTTTGCCTGGGAAGCAGAGGGCAAAGCAGATAGTGTAGGGATCTTGGGCCGTGTTGCTGCCTGTGGCAACGAAGCTGGTCATTTCTCCACCCTCTGGGCCCACTGGGAAAGAGCATCATTAGGCCAATTGGGTGGCTTCATCTAAGTTACTCCAGCCAGGCCCCATGGACAGCTGGGTGACAAAGACATGTAAAATGGGCCAAAGAGAAGGGTGGAGAAGAAACAAGCAAAGGTGGCCAGTAGAAATT